GTGATTGTATTGCTTCTTGCTTTGGTGCATATGTGGATTTCTGTTTTTGCAAAAGGAAGCCAAAAGTTTTTATATCTGTATAAACCCAGCAAATTTATATTGATGGCTATAGAATCGCATGTGATGTTCAGTGATGCTAATACTAAGACTGCTCAAATACTGGTACTGTGCACTTGCAAAATAGTTGGGGACCAATTTTTCCAAAAGATTTAACTACAGCAGTTCATGCCAGATTGTCAAAGCTGAAGGAGACTCTGCACGCTTCAGAACAGCCTAATCCCCAAATAGGAACTTAGTGCTTGTGAAAGTTCAGCCCGACAGGACTTGACTGAACATCACTGTGATGACCTGATTGTCAGCGCTGGTGTGGTAGCAGCTGCATATTGTTCAATGAAGAGTTTTCATGGCCATTTCTGGGAGCTAGGTCCTTTAGAAACCTTAATACTAACCTTTAACCCCTTTTGATCTGGCTGTGCATGCCACTGCTCTCCTGGAAAAATACCGTTCTGGATAGGCTTCATCATACACCCAGGTGCATGCCTGGAGTAAAGTAACCCCCATGTCTGGTGTGAGTTAGCCTATATCCTCCACCAAGAAAAGCTACATTAGGTTTAACATAATTAGCAAAAGGCTGCTTTGTTTTCCACCAGTTGTATATTTGTCAGCATTCAGCAGTGTATTAACGAAGTACCATCTCTGAGGACACAGCCTGTATGGGAATTTGCCTTACTGTATGCATATGTATGCTGCTGCAAGCCTGAGGTTTTTTCTGTTTTCTGGTGCTCGTGGTGCAGACCCATGGCTGCACACAGGGGCTTGGTCAAAGCTTCTCTCTCACCTAAGCAAGTACAGTTCTTTGGCAGGAATTTGACTTCACCATCCTGATTCTCAGGGCTGTTACCTCTCTGTTTTCTGGGTAACAGGGGCTGGATTGCAAACTGAGTCAGGATGAATAAAGACATGCCCAGTCCAAAACATAGGAACCAGAGTTGTGGAGAGGATTCCCTGGCTCCCAGGGGGTGGCAATGAAGGGAAGGGTGATGATTACTGTTATCCTGCAGTGCTTTCAGGCCTCTGAGCTGTCCAGATTTATTTGGGATTTATTCCTTTAGATATTTCCACCAATACATTTCTGCTTTGTTTTTCATTTTTTATTTCTTGACTAAACTTTGGAGATTTGTTGATGCTACTAATCTAATTTCATTGTGACATCTATGTTATGCAGTAAATATACCAATAACCAGCATAACTTTTCTTAACATTTGTTCTTCAAGGACATAGCAACAGCTCTGTCTCCCAATGCAAGAAGCTCAGTCCATTGACCTCAGTGTCACTGGACCAAATGCTGTGTGAGATCTTGCTGCCACAACACATCCTAACGTCAGATTAGGACAGTTTGACCTAAAAATCAGATTTCTGTGGAAGATGCGAAAGAATTGCTTGCAAAATATAGGGATGAGTTACATAAACATCTTGATTTGGGCCACAGGATATAGCCATCACATGTAAACAATGTTTTTTTTCATCCTTAGGTTACAAAAGATGAGTTTTTGAACTACTACTCAGGAGTTAGTGCTTCTGTGGACAGCGATGCCTACTTCATTTTAATGATGAAGAAATCCTGGAAACTCTGACTTTTGCTTTTATTTCCCCCAACTCCTTTGGGATTAGAGACTATAAAGAAGTGAAACGTTTGTTGTGGGTTTGATTTTTTTCTCCCAATTCCCATCTAAACACCTTTTGCAGAGCTTCATGATTTGCAGCAATTGTCCCAGTTCTGGACTCTGACATGTGGCTTCATGTTTCAACAGGTGGCGCTTAAAAGCCAAGGGATAGGCAGCCTGACTGAATCCTAGGGCTGCCGAGTGAGCAAATGGATGGGGTAGTCAGTAGAAATTAGCATTTCCTGGCATTATCAGTTGTTTTCTCGTGTGTCTCTACGATAGATTTTTTTTGCCAATGCCCTGTTACACACCAGAGTGCTAATTTGGAAGGCTTCATAATCACAGTAGTAAGGAACGGATTGACCCTAAAATAATTCTTCACAGAGACGGTTACATTTTATCTTGCATTGTAGCTGGTTTTAAAGTGTAGCTTCAGAAACCCACAACCAAAGAGATAACTAGCTTGAGCCAAAAGCATATTGACTATAAACCTGCTGCTGTTCCTCCCAGGGATGCAGCACTTCAGTATTGTCGTATAAATACAGGCCTTCACGTCAATAAACACTTTTTCTAAGAAGCCTGAAGGAGCTGAACTCCTGCCCTACAGAAGTACCCTGCTAGCATCACCAGGTCCCTTGCTGCCACAAGGGATGGCTTCATAGTCAGCTCGTGCCTGCCTAGAACTGCCCCAAATTCAGCCACCTGTTCCTGCAGCAGCGGTGGCCAGGCCACCCTTCACTGTTTATTTCATGGCCCAGACCTCACCGCACATCTCATGTGTTTAACCATCCCTTCATCCTGACAGAAACAGCTCCCCTGTCTCTCCATGCTTAGCTGATCTTCTACCACCCCACTGACACACTGAGCATTTTTGTGTGTTTTATCACCCTGTCTAATGAACAATACACAAGAGGAGGAGATTTGGTAAACAAACAAATTCAGCAGGGTACAAGTATTGTCTCGGGAGGTAATTATGGTTTTTCAGCATCATTAAAATTAGGCTGTGAGTCAGTGTTATAACTGACAAAAGACATTTTATTTCACGGATTAGAGTTTGTGTGCCGCTAGGAGATGTTTGCATAGTGCAAATGAGCTGTGCATAGATGAGGGGAGAAATGACAACGAAAGAGGGGCTGTATTACCACAAGCAGAGAAGAGGCAGAGGAGCCTGATGGGTGCGTGTGGAGAGAGGAGCAAGCAGCTCCAAGGACAGCATCATAAAGCAGCTGCATAGAAACCAGGATCAGCAAGTTCTTTTTGTGTGTGCAGCTGAGTATGAACAGGAGGCAGAAAGTGTAGAGGAAGAATGTAATGCTGAAGTAAAGAAGATACGTGGAGTATGTGAAAGCTGTTTAGATGCTGAGTCAGATGGGAATTTTTCAGCTGCTATGGGGGAAAGTGTTTTGTAGAATAAGGAAACTACTCGGTCCTGACCTGGTGAAATATTGTCAAGACATATCCATGGCTGTATCTTCATATATATATACTACATATCTAAAAGCTGGCCACAAACCGAGTGTGATTGTATTGCTTCTTGCTTTGGTGCATATGTGGATTTCTGTTTTTGCAAAAGGAAGCCAAAAGTTTTTATATCTGTATAAACCCAGCAAATTTATATTGATGGCTATAGAATCGCATGTGATGTTCAGTGATGCTAATACTAAGACTGCTCAAATACTGGTACTGTGCACTTGCAAAATAGTTGGGGACCAATTTTTCCAAAAGATTTAACTACAGCAGTTCATGCCAGATTGTCAAAGCTGAAGGAGACTCTGCACGCTTCAGAACAGCCTAATCCCCAAATAGGAACTTAGTGCTTGTGAAAGTTCAGCCCGACAGGACTTGACTGAACATCACTGTGATGACCTGATTGTCAGCGCTGGTGTGGTAGCAGCTGCATATTGTTCAATGAAGAGTTTTCATGGCCATTTCTGGGAGCTAGGTCCTTTAGAAACCTTAATACTAACCTTTAACCCCTTTTGATCTGGCTGTGCATGCCACTGCTCTCCTGGAAAAATACCGTTCTGGATAGGCTTCATCATACACCCAGGTGCATGCCTGGAGTAAAGTAACCCCCATGTCTGGTGTGAGTTAGCCTATATCCTCCACCAAGAAAAGCTACATTAGGTTTAACATAATTAGCAAAAGGCTGCTTTGTTTTCCACCAGTTGTATATTTGTCAGCATTCAGCAGTGTATTAACGAAGTACCATCTCTGAGGACACAGCCTGTATGGGAATTTGCCTTACTGTATGCATATGTATGCTGCTGCAAGCCTGAGGTTTTTTCTGTTTTCTGGTGCTCGTGGTGCAGACCCATGGCTGCACACAGGGGCTTGGTCAAAGCTTCTCTCTCACCTAAGCAAGTACAGTTCTTTGGCAGGAATTTGACTTCACCATCCTGATTCTCAGGGCTGTTACCTCTCTGTTTTCTGGGTAACAGGGGCTGGATTGCAAACTGAGTCAGGATGAATAAAGACATGCCCAGTCCAAAACATAGGAACCAGAGTTGTGGAGAGGATTCCCTGGCTCCCAGGGGGTGGCAATGAAGGGAAGGGTGATGATTACTGTTATCCTGCAGTGCTTTCAGGCCTCTGAGCTGTCCAGATTTATTTGGGATTTATTCCGGCAGAAACTAGGTAAAGTCCACAGAGTTATCCTAATTTCAGTGAGGGCAGAGTAAGTCCTATCCTGATAGATGTATATTAGAAGACTGAATTAGAGCAGCATAAATAGGCCATGCAGATATTCATGTCCTTTTAATACAGTAGAAATATTATAAAACCAAGGTTACATGTTATCTAATTAAATAAAATACTAAGACATAGAAAATAAACATGTTTAAATATTAGCAGCTATGCAAAAATGAGTGCTACATAGGAAAAATATAACTATTTCAGTCATTAAAGTAAATAAAAATCGGATTTCTACTACTTTTCCCATATTAAAGAACAAACATCAAGCTTCTACTACTTTTCCCATATTAAAGAGCAGTATACCTTTCTGGACAAAGAGAAAGACGATTACACGAGTACCCTACTGCTTAAATAGTGCAAACAGGCATTTGTGATGTCACTTTTAATCCTTAAAAATGTGTGTATGAGTTCAAAACAAGCATAGCACATATTATATAGGATTTTTCTGATGCGCTTTTACTTCTTCCTTTATGCCCTGCTTGTCACTGTGTTACTGGAAGAGGATATAATTTGCATCTAAAATCGCACTGTGCAAGTCAGCACAGTATGAGCACTAACAGCAGCATTTTAAAAAAGAAATACAAGCATTATAAAGCAAATTAATATCCAGGGCTTTCATCTTTTCGTACTGCATTAGTCAATGTTTCAGTTGGTAAGAAACAGCAATAAAAAACATTCTGTAAAATGTCACTGGAATGCCTTGAGCCAAATCCTCGGCCCCTTTGCACTCAGGCATCATATAAGGTTTGAAGGTTTCCCTGGTGTCGGGTGGAGGTGGAGCAAGTGGAGTCTTGTCTTGGGATTGATGTTTTTCTCCAGCAGGCTACACAAATATAGAGACATCTCAGTGATTATTACCAGTCAGAGCATAATTCGAGCAGCTCTGGGGATGAGAAAGGGCTCTTTTTACCCTTAGACTCTGGGAATGTGAATACGTTTCAGTAAAGGAGAATTTCAAGCAGCTAGAGAAACTGAGACTGCACAGCAAGGTGAACCCCAATCCCCAAGCGCAGCAAAACAGCTTGGATTTCCCATGGCCACACTGCTTGGCTGTCATGCAACCATGTGTCTATAGCAGCTTTATCTCCAAGCATGTGCTCCGCATTATGCACCATCCAGAGGGTCTGTGAAGCGTCTCAGCCATCTCTGTGTGATAGCACGTGGGGAACCCCTTAGAGCTGGGCTCAGAGTCCAGAGAAAGGTGAAAGGGAAGGGACAGAATGTCTTCCTTCATCATAATGTAAAAAAAATTTTTTTAAAAAAAGAAGCTATATCTAGGCAATTTTCAAGGTACTCTTAAAAAAGATAGGTCTCTGATCACTGGCAGGATCCATGACTCTCCATCCATCTTCTTAGGTCAGATGTATGAGAACATTGCCTGGTTAAATTCAAAGTACTCTCATGCAGTCACAGCCATTGGGAATAATGCTAGTAAACAAACATAGTCAGCTCGGCCCTTCTGCCTGGAAAGTACTTACATGTTGCACTAATGCTTTAGAAAGAGCTGCAGAGAAAGACAGCATCTTGCGTCTTACAGTTTATAGGAAGAGATGGGAGTTTGTTTTTCATTGATTTTGTTTTGTTTTCCTAGCTAAACATTGCTAGTACATGAAATATTTTAGATCTTTAACATATAGCACTAGCAGCAGTACCTGTGGATCCTAAAATTGTCTCCAGGGCAGATCTTTACCAACAGCAAAATGAAGGGGCATGTAGGCTTTTGTTTTGTTTCAATCTCTCCCTCTCAAAAAAAAAAAAAAAAAAAAAAAAAAAAAAAAAAAAAAAAAACACCTTCCTATGGTAGTCCATGTGTGCTTTTTCGTGGTGGCTCAGCAAACTCCCTTTGAGGTGATCAGGCTCTTGAATGAATACCCAGGTGACTAATGCTGGATAGGAACTCTCATTTATTAGCATTTTTCAAACTTGTGGGCTTTCACTGACTGCAGAGGAGTTACTTTTGACCTACCACTGTTTAAAAGAGATTGGATTCCATGTAACTTGAATTTCTTGCCATATTTCTAGCTTGGGCTTTAATAAGAGCTCAACTCTGCAACCAAGAGGTAAACAGAAGAGTTCATTAACTTTTATGAGACATGCTGTGATTCTCACCTAGGATTGCAATGTCATTGCTATGGATTAATCAGATCTGAAGATAAAAGTCAAGTTGAATTAAATTTAATTTCTGCTGCAATGGAGATTGTTACCAGCATACTGAGTAATCAATGTGGGAGAACCCACTTCCTTGCCGGTATGGCGTTGCACTGTGAACAGGGTATGTTGCAGAAGTGAGAACTCACAGGATGCAGGAAAACAAAACAGAAAACTTCAATGTCCTGCCTGTGTTAGAGAAAAAAATGTATGCTGTCATTCCTGTGAGATTTACTGAATTTTATAGAAGCTAGACATTGTGACATAGGCTTCCTCATTGTTTGGTGACCTCATTTCACTGGTAGGCAGCATTTGGGATGTGGTGTCATCATTTAGGGACTCTGGTCCAGGCTGGCCAGAGGGATCTGGGAAAGGAGCAGAGGAAAGGTTGAAACCATCATCACGCAGGGGCACCCTGTTGCTGTGGCAAACCTCATATGTGCTAGAACTGCAGTTTCCTTTGGTGACTGCAAACTGGTTGGTGCCCAGGAGTCTGTGCAGGGCTTCAGCTGGCCAGATTCCTCCATAAGTCACAGACAGGTTTTGGTTGCTTTTGTCTGTCATCGCAAGGTTCATCTTCAGGTCTGATCCACTCCTAAATTTTTCTGTAAGGTTCATCTCTAGAGCAGTTGATGGCTGCAGAAAATTTTCCAGTTCAACTTTTGCTCGAATGCCATCCACTTTATGGATATGAACGTAACCAAAACTCTCTGGGTTAAAGCTTATATCAAAATTCTGCATGGCAAAGAAACAGCATGGTCAGTTAACAGTGGGTATTAGCTGAAGAGAATAGGTACTTTGGTAACTCATTAGATATTAGAAGGGTATTTATTATTTCTCTAACTCTGAAAGTAACCCTTAGCAGGCTGAACAATTGGTTAGTAAAGAATAAATTATCACGTGTCTTAAAATCCTTTGCTATATTAGTCTGAATCTGTTCAGTGGCTTCCTGCAGACAGTGCCACCGGAGAGCCTTTCATGTGTTAGACGATGTGGTGGGAGCTGGTGGTTCAGAGACTTTTCTGAGACACGCGACTATTGCATGCCTGCTATTTCACAGGAATGAGTGTACCAACCCAGGCGGTTCCTTTCAGTTTTACCTTCCTAATTTAGCAGTGAGGGAAGTAAAAGATTGCCATGACTTCCTGAAACACATTAGGAATCCTTGTACTGGGGAGCATGGGGGGGTGGTAGAGTCTTCTTAGACCTCTTATTAAATTAAGAACATGCTAATAATATATTAACTGGAGAGAACAGCACTGATGAGTTTTTTAGTGAAAAAATACACTAGACACATAGTTAAGGCAATGGGTTAATCCCACACCCACACAATATTTGTAACATTGTCCATCTGGCTTTTATCTGGCAGAGCAGTTCCTACACTGTGTGGTGTATGAGCAATTCTGCTGGCTGTGTAAGCTGGCACCAGTGATGTTTGCATCCAGCCCCACGATCACAGTTTCGCAGAATCACTGAAGCAGCTTGGTTGGAAAGGACCTCTGGAGGCCAACTGGTTCAACCTTCCACCAGAGGCAGGACCTGGACTGTGTTATCCAGAGCCCTATCAAGCCAAGCCTTGAACATTTCCATCAAAGGAGAACCTACCTCTTCTCTGGGAAACCTACATTGCTTTTGTTGTTCTCATGGACACTTTTTTCTTATATCCAGATGAAGTTTGCCCTGAAAAAACACGTGCCTTTGGCCTCTGGTGCTGTCACCATGCAGCCTTGCGGCAAGAGCACCTCCAGCATCTCTCTACCTACACTTTAGGTATTGGAAGGTTGTGATTAGTAGTCCCCACCTCAAGCTTCCTCTTTCCTGTAACTAATTCAGTTCCTTCAATCTTTCTTCATGTATCAAATTCTCCAGCCCTCTGTAGTTACAGTGCACACAGGTCAAAGATCAGGCACTAGTTGAATTATCTGTTATTTCCATACCCTTGACTAGCATCTGCCTGGGCAAATGTGGGCTCTCTTCAGTGAAATGTAGAAGTAATTTCTGAAGAATGTCCCAGTTCATGCAGCAAAAGCACGTACTGTCTCTCATAAGTGTTTTCTTCCCAATAGTCTATATGCAGGTGAAAACAACAGTGGAAGTACATACATTTTTTGGCTTCTTACATAGCTGCTCCAGTGTTTTTTTATGGTCAGGAAGGTTTGGCCATACAGCAGGCTTGATCCTGAAACAGGAACAGTAGAAAAAAAGGGGTTCAACAACAATAAAAGAGGGACATGTTAAGATGTCAGAGGTTCATATTTTATCCTTGGTACTAATTCTCACAAAGCCTTAGGGCTGGCTTGTATTGCCCAGAATAATGACAGAGAAGTCTCAGAACAGAACAAAGACAGGAGGACAGGTGTTATAAAGGTCACTGAGTACTAATTGTTCTTTTGAGTGGACAAATTGTTAAAGGAAGCCACATCACCAAGTACTTGAAAAGCAACAAATCATGCTGTCAAAGACCTAATTTGCATCTAGCCACCTTAATGGGGCTTTGCATGGTGAAACCAATTTCTGCAAGTGAAAAAAGATGCTGTGGTTAAAGTGCAAATTTGCTGATACTTGCTTCTGCATATTTATATAAGTTAAAAAACTGCATATGGTTCTACTCCTTGGCCAGCTATCTGTGTTTCAGATATCTATATTGTAGCCTTGTTCCACAGGTCTCATTTTTATTGCCTAAATTAACGAAGTTCTTGCTTTGTGCTGCTAGAAATGCAGCTATAATGCATCCAGAGAATACTGCCTGGCTGATATTCAATGTTGCAGTGATATAAATGTAACGATAAATGTATATGAATATATATTTTATTTTGTATGTGTGTCTGTATATGTGGATATATATACATACATATATAAATCTTTTTAAAAGGGAAATCTCTGAGTTCAGAAAGTCTCACCATCTAAAAGCCAGTTTTTCAGCATTTTTACATCAATAGAGCTACCAAAGTTACAGAACTACAGGTGCTCAACAACAGTAAAAAGAAACAGCTAGAAATCTCAAGCTACATCTATACTTGCAAATAAAACAGCACCAAGGAGCATTCCTGGCAGATAACTCCAGTGTATAAAATTATTAATTATTAAAATTGTTCTTGGCTTGGTTTGACGGGGCCACCCAGCACATTTCCAGCAATCCCTGTGTGTCATTCAGGAGTTAGAACAGCTCAAGTGTTGTCCCCAAAACGTAGTTTGCATGCAGCCACCTCTCTGGATGTCAGTAGAGGTGGATGTCATGGACAGGCAGCTCTGAATGCCACTGAACAGCCCAAGGTTTTCTGCCTTGGGAAGGGTTCATCTCGTATGGTTAAACTTGGGACTTTTTCACTTCAGATGCTGGTTTCACAAGATTGTCTACGTATCTGTCCAGTTTCTTAAATTTGTCAACTATCTTCTCTACAAGCATATATAGCCACATATTTAAAATACATATTTACAGCTATCTATCTACTGCTTTGTAGCCAATATATGAAAAAAACCCAATGCAGACAAAGGACTGCCTGTGTAATGAATGTATCTCCAGTCCCACTTCTGTCGTGACTGCTTTGGTGGAGGATGTAGAGCCGGGTTTCACCACATGGCTGGCTGGAGGCTGTGCTGGTCACTGACATCATCGTAAGGCACTGCAGAGCAAACACTCTGCTGACTCAGCCTATGACAGGGAAAGAGGCAGTCTCCCTGGTATACCATTTCCACACCTCTTGAGACTTCACTAAAACCCACAGGTGGCTTTCTTTTATGGATCATGCTTGAGGCTTCTGAGTCAGATTTGCCTCCAGTGAGACACCAACTCTGTGTTTCAGGGTGACTTCAACTCCCCAAAGGTGTTGGTGTTTCAAGCCCAAGAGTGAAGTCTGCTGAAAGAGGCAGGTTGTCCTCTGCCCGCCAACACCCTCTCTTATTCTGCCCACTTCTACTCTTTGTCTGCCTTTGGCTTGAGATAGAGGTCCAGAGAAGGAAGGAGAATAGGTCACAAGTATAACAGGGAAAGCAATAAGAATGTCAGAACAGGATTGGCTTCCAACACTTTTTCTGACACAAAGAGACTTAGATTACCTGTTTTCCCAAAAAGTTATGACCAGGGCAATCATGACAATGGACAGCATGAATCCCAGGATGGAGAGTATTACCACAACCATGCTGTTATCTAAAGAAAAACAAAGAAGATCAGCCAACGCATGTAAATGTCTCACTGTTAAGCCACTGTAACTGTAACGTCTCTTCAGACAATAAATTAGGAATTAATGACAAGCATTGCACTTGCCTGTCACTGGACTGGTGCAGTGGTGCATTTCCTCTGCATCCCTAAAGGAGGGAAGAGGTAGGCTGCCAGAGCATCAACACTTGGCTGAGCTCCAAGCATCCATAAAGCAGCACTGAAGTGACTTTGAGCACTTGTAATGTTGAGGTGCCCCTGGGGACTGAAGGGACCCAAAGGACCAGAAGCGTTATTCATGTTTACAAGTGCAATAATAAGGTTTTATCCCATACTGTATTTGTGATTGAAGTGCCATGTTTGCACACAGAACCAGGGCACTGAAATGGGTCATGTTTTACCACCCTATGTGCCTTACCTAAAATGCTCAATGAAAGCTGTTCCTTCTCCCTGCACACCAGCAGAGAGCAAGCAGCATTGAGTCAGTCTTCACCTCCCTTTGCACCCCACACATGCCTCTACAGCAACTGATTTTATCATCCTTGAGTGAGATTTAACTTCACATGGAGATTCAGGCCCAGACCGGAGTGATACAGCCACTTTCTGAGTCATGTCCTCTGGGGTGCCTGGTGCCTGTGAGGGCTGACCCTGCTGTGGCCGTGGGCTCTTCCCTCCCCATGCTCTCATCACCACTGCCACCAGGGCTGGCCAGTGAGCCTAGGACCCCTAGCTCTGCTCTCTTCCAGGTGGACCAAAGTGATTTCTGCCCTTACAGCTCTCTGTGGAGCGCTGCTCCTTTGCGGTCCTGAAGCTCTTGGAAGTGCTCCATTCACTCCACATGCCCTTAAAATAATCTCCATTGGGCTGCGAACGTACTTTCACCTCATACGATGCATCATTTTCGAGGTTTTTTCCCAGTAATTTAACCTGAAGGTATGGTGTCTCTATTGTCTAAACACACACAAAAAAATCCAATTATTTTTCTGTAAGACAGGAGAAATGTCTTTGAGTTTCAGCAAAATATGCGTGATCAGGTGAATCCCTGCAGTACTGTGTTGTTTGCTGCTTGTCTGTGGTTATTATACTGGTGGTCATCATGACATCAGTCTAGTTTAACAGAAAGTTAGTCCAGACAGTATTGAGAACAGAGACTAATGCTGTGTAAAAGCTGTTTGGAAAACAGCTTTAAGTGTTAGTTCTGATTTGCTACTGTTGACAGTGCAGTGGGAAGCGTATGCTTCCCTGGGAAGGTTCAGAAGGGAGAGTGGAAAGAATACATTTCTGTGGCATAAAAGGACAACTTCTGAAAGGGCAGCTACAGAAAAGAAGCTGAAATCCCACAGTGCAGCTCTTCATGCCAATGTATTGTGTTGCCTGAATCCTTTTCCTTCCCTAGTTACAGTTCTCCTGTGTTCCTTCTGTAAAAAGGAGGTATAGTCCATGCTTTCAAACACCCCCCATTTGGACTAGCATTTGCACGTCTGGTTGTGTGACAGGGGACACAGAGGTCCCAGCAGCTGGGCAGCCCAAACCAGATTCAGTTCACAGGCAGCTGCAGCCCAAAACATGGTCCAAGGGTGGGAGAGCTGCAGGGCTACACCGAAAGCCTGGAGAGGCTCAGTGAAAAAGGGACACAAAGAAACTGTTGCTGTGTAAGAAAAAGGGTCGTACGATTTACTGAGTGATAAGCTCAGAAAATAAGAGCAAAACCATACTAGCAAAGAGCAAGCCACCCAAACACTTAGGATGTTCATTATGTTATGTCTTCTCTTCCCACTGCAAAGCCCTAAAGAAAGAAACTTCGTTAGCCCAGAGGAGTGTCTAACAGACCCATGCTGTTGGTCTGGAACTGTTTTGACTGATGAAATTTCCAAATGCCAAATATTACACTTTTCCAAGTTTTCAGCTGTAGAATTGTAGAAATGCAGATTTGAGGGGTTTTACATGATAGAGGTATTTCTGCTAATGTTCAATTTTAGAAATTAGTGTAAGCTCACTAATATATCGTGACTTACCTTCCAAGTACCTTCTTCTTTCTGATAGGCTATTTGGTGTATTAATTTGTCCTTTAAGTATTTCTTCCATGAATGTGGTGTACTATAATGAATAAGATATTCATTTGCCTCCTTTTGGTATGTGATATTTATATCAAATGGTACTTCAGGCTTAACTGCAAATGATAACAAACCAGGATATAACAGCAATAGAATAATGTTACTACAAAATAAACAGGTTTTGAAAAGTAAAAAAGAATTCCACTTCAAGTTACATGCTCTGCATGGTGACCTATCTTGGGCAAGCCTCATGCTGAGCCCCAGTTCATCCTTATACCTTGGTCCTGAGAAGAGCTTGGTTTTGACCTGCTGAAGCAACAGTGTGACCAGTAGAGATGACGCTTCCTGGGGATATGACATTTAGTCTTGGAAAGCAATTCCTGAGCATGTCCATGCCTGCAGTAGCACTGCTTGAAGACCTAAAATTCAGTCCCTCTAACCAGCGCTCTGAGATGGAGACCCTGTGGCAAAACCCATTCCTGCTCTGGGAGGAAGGCACTGGGGAGAAATCCTGGTACAGCTATAGTGGCTAGTAGCCATCAGGGTAGTGGGACAGAGGAAAGGATAAAGTATGATACTGTTAGCTATAGCGGGGGGGCTGTGGTTCCAGGCCTGTTTACGAACCCACGGCTGACCTGCTGCCAGAGACTGTGTCAGATGACCATCTATAGATGTACCTCATGTCCAAAATGCAGCCCTTGCGACTCTCCCCAAGCTGTGCCTGAGCTGGATGTCTGCAGTGACCTGTGTCTGTGCCACTGAGGCTTCTTGAATGAGTCATGTAAAGTGCATCAGTTCTCACGGGAACAGAGAGCCCACACCTCCCTCCTCTCAGGAAAATGCATAGAGCCAGAAAATATGCACATTCTTGCAACTCCCAAATACTTAATCCATCCCTGCAGAAATCACCGTTTCTAGAGGAGAGACAACCAGAGATGGTCCAGGCTGGTCTATAAACTGAGAGGTAGTGTAAGATTGTTACAAAACTACTGGACCGAGGCAGAAATGTTTTGTAAGAGGGATGCTGCAGCACCTGTTGCCAAAAAAAGGCAAAGCAAGGTGGTACCAGAGCAGCACCAAGCTGCCCTACATGGGCTTCTCTGCAGCCTGTGAATGAGACCAGCTCCCAAGAGGGAGAAGCCCTAAGCAGCCCCTCTTACCCTGAGTTCCTTATTTCTTCACTCAGGCAGGTCCCCAACATGGCTTTGACAAACACATTCATGGGCTCTCAGTGTCCCTTCTGTGCTGCAGGATGCCTCAGCACCTCGTTCAGACAACAGGCTCCACCAAGAAGCAAGATGTGAAAAAGTGAGGTCTTGTAATCTTGCGGTCCCTGTGCTACTGAGCTCACTCTAGACTTGGGATGGTCAGTCCTGACACTGTGCAGTCCTAGTAAGAGATGAACAAAATGCCCCTGCTTGACAGTTCATCAACAGCTGCTTCACCCATGTGCATGATTTGGTATATGTCAGGGTCTGGGCAGACTGTTGCAATAAACCAGAATTCAGCTGCACATTTTGAATGGAGGTTAATCATGTTTGGCTTTGAAGCAAGGGGAACACCACGTTCTGCCAACACCCCAATCTAGACTACGTGTGCCCTGCCAGGACACTATTTTATTCTGCCTCTATTTCACCATGACTGACACTTAGGCATTGCACTGGGGTATTTTTTTTCCCAGTAATCCCTATATATTAAAAATATCAAAAATGTTGTGTCTTACCAATGTCAGTTACAACCAGACTCCTACAGACCCTTCTCTTTGTCTCAGAATCCATGCAAATATCTTTATTTGAGAGTATGTCAGTGAACTGTAAGAAATAGACACCTTCCCGTTTCTCCATATTGAAACACATGTAATTGCCATCTTCCTTGGTACTGTTGATAAAAGTGACACAATGTTAATTTCTTCTTGGTGGTACTACAACATAGTAAGGAACAAATCCCGGTTGCTTATTTCACATTAAATGAAGTAAAATTCCATGTGAAATAAGAAAAAATGCCATGCAAATTAGGAGTTTAAAAGGTTGATAATGTTTTTCCTCATGGTCTTTGAACACAATAATCAAGTGGTGAGAATCACAGCAAGAGTCCTGGAGCCCTCCAAGAAAAAAAAAAAAATGCAATTATTAAACTGTAGATGCATGTGTTAGAAACCTTTATATCTTTAAAAATGATCTCATCACTGCCACCTTTAAACACAGGGCAATAGATTTGGATGTTCGCTGAAGATTAAGAGAAATTTATTTTTGACTGTAGTGGTAGCAAATACAGGGTCAAGAGTCAGCCAGGTCATGAAGGAGTCATAGAGCACATTTTCAGAGGTGGAAATGCATCTGTTCCTCCACCTGTGTGACTCCTGTGTTTGAGGACTGTCATAAAATTTCAGTCAAAATCCAGAATAAATCCCATTAAAATAGAAAAATCCTAATAAAGTAGGTGGAAAAAATTAAGTAGTGATTAGAATAACAAGATTAAAAAAAAAATCCACTTTGCTGGCTGCTGTGAAACTTTGTTTCAGTAAGAACAGGCAAAGGGAAAAGTGGAAATATGATAAAGACACAAAATCTGAGCTTGTTTAATGAAGTGCATCAGTTAAGAAAAATGTGGAAAAGAATTCCAAGGCTTTGATGAGAAGTGAAGATGACTAATGTGTTTGGTAACTGTTGGGTTTTTGTATACTCATTCTAGTGTGTTTTCTGAATGTCTGTGTATGCGAAGACAATTGCTTAATTTTTGTCTTGATCTCGATAAAGGCATTTTCCCTGCAGAGGAAAATCATCCTTCTTGCCAAAGAATTTTCTGTGGAGAAGATCTGCCTCTTTAAAAACATTTTTACTTTTCACTTAATAAAAGCTATGTTTGGAGTCTTTAAATATCATTTAATTTAAAGGAAAAATGATCTCTGTTCATGCTGGGCTACCATCTGTAATTACAGGTGTTCCAGAGAAACAGAGGCAAGACCAGGACTATTCGAGATGTTATAATGCCCTTTACAGACTCTTCCAGCTGACATTTTTTCTTATTAGGGAGTTATGTTTCATATTAGTAAGCTCTTCTTCTTTGACGAATGTAGTATTCAAACTCTGTAAAACACTCTGAAGCAGAATTTTGCCTAGCTATGTTGCTCCTGTTTCCCAGCATATGGCAACATGACTCACTGGTGCTTAGCATTTCTCTTCCCAGAAGTTTACTAAAGGATGGGCTAACAGCACTTACCACAGAGCCAGGGTATAGTTAGTGTTGTGAGGAGGCAGCTCAGTAAAACTGCAGGTCAGGCTGCTGTAGGAATCCTTAAATTCCAGCTGGCTGTAGCAGTCAATGTCGAAGTTGTCTGGTTCATCATCTACAAAAGTCCCTAAAGAGAGATCCAGAAGATGTTACTGAAGCAAACCTGAGTGTATTCCATTTGCAGCTCCATTGTATAGGAGCTTGTTTCCTTACATGGTTGCCTGAAAGGATCAACCCACCTGTTTTGTAAGAAGCAAAGAAAGCTTGTTCAAAATGAAATTAAAAGCCATGCGCACATTTCAAGGTCTCTATTTCTGCATGCCAGTGAAGCCACCCACTTACCACACATGAAGGTACATTCTGTATCATCGGTCTGTGAACACACACTGTCACAGGTTGTTTGGTCAGATGAGACCCCCTATGTCTGTTCTTTTCTATTAATCATGAGAAAAGAGGTTTGGTGATGACAACCTGGAAATCTCTAAGAAAAAGTCCGAGTGTCAAGTGCAAACCAGAGAAAATATGTCTGCTCTGCAGATTAATTCCTCCTAAGTTTGAGCCAGGGACAGGGGAATTCTCATTTTAAAATTTACAGATAAACTTTACACCAAGCAGGACCTACACAAGCAGGACCTCCAAAGCAGGACCTACTCCATCTGAAAATCATCTCAGAACTTTCTCAAACAGGTGTTTCTACTCGAAACCACAACATGCTGCTATCCTTGGGCATGCAGAGCGGAGCAAGACATGTTCATGATGCCTCTTGAAAAGCAGAATATTCAAATCAAGGTCCAAAACACTCTTGAAAATAAATGAAACAGAAACACGCGCTGGGGGATATACTCCAAATTGTTACTGCCGGAGGTGTCCAGGTCTGATGCTCAAGGCTAACATCTGCTCAAGAGCAAGGGCTAGACTCAACAGGAGTTATTTATATAGGAATTTCAGCTCAGGACAGCCTGAAAGTACATCAAACACCTTGTAGCTCTGAAGTGTCAGACCCACAGTTGAGGACGCGTGCTTGGCAGTTGCTGCTGCTGCACCTACATCAAGACCAGCCATGCTGCAGACAGATGAGAGTGCCCAAGCAGCACCCTCCTGCTCCTGCTCTGTCCCTGCCTGTGCTGTGAAGATCTGGCCTGACCAGTTTCCTGAGAAGACTGGAAAATGATAGGGGTGGTTTTAGGAAAGCAAGAATATTATAGTGTCATGAGGCAATTAAGCCCCATTTTGATTGTACTGCAAAATTTTCTGAAATGTCACAAATTTGGGCTCAGGAGGGAAAGCTCAGACTTTCTGTCAGAATGCATGGCTTCCTGCAAATTTGCTTCAGTGACTAATAAAACAATCACGATTTGAGTACACTTGGCAGGTATGAGGTCAGTGAAGCAAAAACGGATGCTTCTGAGAGGCGTCCTCACCAGTGGAAACTGTCAGTTCAGCTTCATTTCATGAAATCTCACCCACTGTAGCCAAGCAGACAGGGAAAGGATTATTGCCACCACCCCCTGAGTGAATCCTCAGGGCAGGAATGCCTCTATTTTCTTTTGCTGGTGGATAGGGGTAGCTATACTGATACGTAACCCTCTTTCCCATATCCAGGGACTATTCCTGATCCCCTGCTTGGTCCTCTCCTACCCACTCCTCAGACATGCCTTTGCCATGCAAGGCACCTGCCACAGTAAGACTTTGGCTGCTCCAGGGATATCAGTGACTCACACTCACACTCAGTGTGGGGAAATGTCCATGGAAACATTTCCAATGGAAAATCCCTCCCAGAGAAAATTATGGTCATTTTTGCTGTCAACCAGGTGAACTGGATTACTGAGGGGTGTGAACCAGCTACTTGGATACTGTGATTCATAGTTCCGCTGGTGATGTCCTATGATCCCTGGACAACCCCGACAGAGGACAGGGAGACCCAGACATTGTCTGGCATGGGAGCGTATCTGAAGATCCAAAATGGCCATGGTATGACAAGCAGGGAGAAATCAGGGGAGAGTATTCTTATTTCTTTAAAATGTAATTTAAAAACGTCACCCCACAGGATCACTATCAGCAGTGCTTCCTCCTGACCTTGAAGCTGAGGTGTATCTGGAGTCAGTCAATCTTACCTTGGAGTAAGAGAAGAAATTCAGTCAGGAATGCAAAGAAACATGGAAAAGCAGTCTGGGCAGGGGTTAGGAATGGGGCTGCTGCCACCAGCACCCATGGTGGGGAGCAGGAGGGACTGGAGTATCTGATGCTGCACTAATCCAGAACCCAGAGATAGATCTATCCCCCAAGCTAAGAGTTAGTGGCCATTTGCCACCATGGGCAACGAGTGCTAAGAAGAAATTACTGGTCTTCCCTTCTCACCCAAGAGGACCTCAAGTCTCCTTGAAGGACAACGAAATGCAGTGTCTTCCACCAGCACTGCTGCTTTGAGGGGATAACTTGTTCAGTAGAGACACAGACAAAGCAGGTGCTTTACAAAGCTGCTGTATTTGACCATCGCATTCAAGAGAGACACAGAGGTCAGTGCAGCTCTAGAACAAGTCCTGCAGCAGTTTCACACAGGTGAGAGTCTTGACCAGCACAGTCCTGAGCCATCTGTGCAGACATACACGTACAGAAATGTGTATTATATAAAGACACATATTTGTGGGTAAAAGCGTGTGCATATAGATAGACATATATTCAAAATTCAGGGGATAACAAGTAAGTTGAAACAAATCTGCATAAAATGGAACAGCAGAACTCATTTTAATTTAAACATTTAAACAGTTTTGATGTGGGTTACACAAACCATACAAGTCCGGGTTGGGAGGAGGATTGAAAACAGCTGTCCTGCCCATGAGACCCTGCAGCCTGCTGCCTCCTCCTGCCCCTGCCTGGGCCCTCCTGTGCCTCATGACTGCCCTTCTTAGCTCTGCTTGTAGCTCTGTTAGGGCTTTGGGGGATCTCCACAAACTCTCTTCGGCTGGGGGACAGCTCTTGGAAGGCAACCTGCTGCTCAGAAAAGAGGAAGAGATTGAAGGCAAGTGCTGCAATGCACATTTTCCTCCTCTGCCCATAAG